TGGAGAGTTATTAATGTTTCATAACTGTGAATGACTTATCAAGAAATTTATATTGGCATGACAATGGCATATAATCGTTGGCTAAGATATTTCTTCTGCGTCGTCTGAAACAAAATATATACATGTAATTGTTTTGATAGATAAGACTGGATTCCTTATAGACAGTTTGTTGATCATTTTAATTTAATTCTATTTTTAAAACAAGGAATGCAACTGTGCTGACGTCACATCAGACGGACTTGAACTAGAGTCTTACACGAATTACCGCAGTGCATGCTTATGTTCATGAAAAATTTGAAAAAAAAGAGATCAAAACATGCAAAAATAGCCTTTAGTCATACAGTAGAAATATGGTGATAAATACTGCAAAAGTTAATCAATTAACCGCACGTAACATGTAAATCATTACTTGAATTTTGAATCTTTTGACATTTCTCAACATTGATTTTCTTTATTTTGTTTTAGCTCATCTGCAGGCATGCAGCTTTAAGATACACTTCCGGTATTGAACAATATTTACAATAGAGATTTTTGGATCAAGTACATATCTAAAATAAGAATCAATCTAAAGCAACCTTGAAACATTACATCGCCTATAATTCATTCATCAGCTTGAAGTTTAAACTTATTTTTCTATATATTTTGGTTGTCAAGGAGTTCCACGTCTATTAGAACTACTGTAGATAAAGATAGACATTTTATGAATATAATTCATTATATTTTGGCAGATTTACACGGAATTTATCGTAAGTACTATCGCTATATTTTATGTTCTTTAAGATTGATTCCTCAAAAATATATCATAGATTAGATGTATCTCTGAAAAATGAGTCAAACATCTGATAAACTGAATCTGCTGGTTTGAAAGAAGAAATTAGGAATTTCTCAAAATATACGTCATTTTATGATAACCGCCATAATAGCAATACAGTTCAACCTGTGTAGATGTACCACCTGTTGGGAGGTTAAGATTGTGGTCGTTGCTGAGAGGTGTTGCTCTGGAGAGTTTAAATTAAATGTTGAATCTTAGTATGGGAATGTTTGATTACGTTATTATAAAGAGACGATTGGTCTACAGAGGGCCGTTCTTTAGTGGTTACACTGTATATGAGTTATTCACTGAAAAATAAGTAAGAGTGCATACCTTTTCCATTGTATTTCTTGTACTGTTTTCTATAAATATGTAAGACATGTTTTCATTAATTTGTTGAATTGAATTGTATATTTAAGGCCTTTCTTAGTTGCATTTAGGCATACCTTATCATTATAGTCGTTAATGAAACGTTCGGATTCTATATCAACTGCACAAGCATGGATTTGATTGTTAGTATTACAGGAATTGTTGACCTGTATAAATAAGATTGAAATGGCTTATTCTTCAGGCAGACGGTGTTATGTGAATTATCTGACCTTGTGGATAATGCCACTGCAGATAATCTCTGATTAACATACCTGCCAGATAATCCTTTAATCCTTCGCTGACCTGCATATCGAATGCTTTAAATCAAAGACATTGATTACATTACAATAGTTCGAATTAAGATCATTAATCTAATCAGCCATTAATGAACAATCAATCTTTCCAAAGTTTTTGTTTAATCTGAAGGTGTATTATGATTAATCATCTATGATAACAGGATCTTCTTAAACAGACATGTATACCTGTGATAACATATCTTGTTTTGATATTTGCCTTTATACAATGATTAAAATCACATATTAACATTCCAAAAATCAGTTTAACATTCCTATTAGCTTTGTCCTACATATCGTCCAATTTAGACTGTATACAAATTATAAACAGATTTCATTTGAAATTAAATTTAACATGATATATGTACCGATAATGATCATAATCATAATACAGTATGAAGAATTCAATTTATCGCAAGTTATTTTTTATACTTATTTTTAAATAGACTCCATTATTAGCAGACGTATATTGTTGCCTTCTATATCCAAATCTTTGCACCATTGTTACAATCAGCAGGCCAGCTTGCGCATAACTAGACTTTATACTGTTGTATTACCCGTTTTTTGATAATTTTGATATTGAAAACCATTATATTACGAATGGACTGTTCAAAATTCAAAGCTGGACGTGTCCATTCCACACATTTAGAATTGTTTATGTAATAAAATTTGTAGTTTATGTCTAATTAACTTAATAGCTAAAAAATATTCAATTTTTACCGTTTATTTAATTACTGTGATAATAAGAATGATAAACACAGAAGTAATGTTCGAGATAAGCGTAATTCGCATTAGACATGTTGTCACATTTGGATTGTATTTAACCTGTAATATCAATAATTATTTCTTTTTATAATAGCAAGACTAATAACAATTTTGAAGTATTTACAATGAAAATAAGAGTACTGCGTATTGAAGAGGGTAGAAGTAAGTTTAGCTTGAAATTTCCAAAAATGTGCCAAAAATCCTCTTCAATAGAAATGTGTAGATAAAAATAGTGATAGTGAATCCAGTTACATTTCCCATCAAACATAGTCAGAGCTTTTCGTGAATCATTTTTTTCTAATGCCAATATTTTTTTCTTAATTATAATTTTCTTAAAGATTAAAAAAAAAAGTTTCTTGAGGTTTGCAACCTTAAAGTTTTATGTATATTTACATAACCGTCTGAGACACAAAAAATACCCTCTTATTGTGTATATGAACCCACTTCACATTCTTATATGAAATTGTTTAAAGTGAGAAATTATAAAGGAGCCGTATTTTATATATTAAAATATATTTATGTATTTAATACGACAATATGATAGGAAGTCAAGAGATTGTGTAAATAAAGGAACGTTTCTACCGTGGTTTAATACTCTATATCCATCGCACGTGACGAGGGTTATTAAGTGCTTCTGAAATGAGATAAGTGAACGCGCTGAAAAATATTTGAATGTTTACAAAACGAGAAGGATCAAATAAATTTATTATTCAATATTTTATACATGTATTCATATACAGTTTAACCTCTGCTGAGCGCCCCTCGGTAAAGCAATTACCTCTTTACAACAACCATATAAACTGACCGTAAAGTAAGGCTTCACAACATGATTCAACCTATGTAGAGCAAGACCTGTCAATAACGACCACATATTTTATCTCACAAAGGGGTTTTGTAGAGGTTATACCTTATATAAAGTATAAAAGTCCCTTTTATATATAGGTAATGTAATATACATGTTATTGTTTTTTTGTATTTCTCCGTTTTATTCATGTACATGTTATTATGCTTACATTTTAAACCATCTATTCAGTTTATAATTATATGTCATTAAAACTCGTTTCTAAAGTGCACATTATATAACTTCAAGTGCTAATAAGTATGCATTTAAAAAGTGGCTTTTTGTATAGTTTTTGACAATAATGTTCAAAATAACACCAATTATTGTATAAACACATGTATTTATCATTGTTACTTATTGATTTTACTTTCATTTGTCAAAATAAACTTAACAGAAAATAGAAATTAGGCACAGAAGATTAGTAAAGATTATTGGGTTTGTAACAATGTTATCTATGTACCGCATCAGTAGAGCCTTAACACACAAGTCTGGGCTGAGTCCCTTTTTCACAAGCGTGCCTTCTATTACTCAAAACAAAAAGTGAAGCCTGGACTGTATAGTTTATTCTTTAGTTTATTCTATTACATCAAGAATTAGATTTTGCAACAATAATACTTTTTATTGACATTATTATGGAATACACGCTTAAAAGACTTATAGTGATAACAGAAAAATAAGTTTATAGAAACATAACTATTCCATTGTGAACAGGAGAAAAAATTGTTTACTGGAGTTGAATACATGCACGGAAACTGTTTGAATTATTTATATTATAATATTCAATTGCGGCTTCTGTTGTTGTTGTTGTTGTCGTTATGGGATGTATTAAAATAGATTTAGATATTATAGAACAAAGGCAAGCATTCTTCGAAGACGAAACGTTCAGATCTCAGGTAGAAAATAAAGTTTTTTGATTTAAGAAACATATAAAAAATTAAGATATAAACCTTTGTTCTGATCAGCGTTTCACACGAATGTAAAAAAAGATTGCTAACGTTGCATAAATTAATAAATTTTTTTACTGTACTTTTTATCTATATTCAATTTTGAATGACATTTTGTCGAGAAAAATGACAACTTGACAATATATCGATTGATTCAAATGAAATAGACCATGGCGCAATAACATCGTTTCAGAGTATGACATAATCAACGGCCAATATAAGATTAAAGGGAGATAACTTTTTTTTCTCAGATTAATTTCAAACTCATAAGAGAAAGAGTTATCTCTCTTTATAGGTACGATATATGTAATTTAATAACTCCGTAAATCATGATAGTTTCTCTTTGAAATCAATACTTACAATTATTGTCCATTTATGAAGATTAATCTATTGACTTTTCCTTTGATGCTTCTATTGTTGACCGAGATAACGAGTTTACAAATATGACTGCAGATATTCAATGTACATACGGAATAAATCTCCGACTAAAATGCACAGCGAGCGCATTGACACGGATAATGTTCACACTAAAGTAAATTTGGACTTTGTTATAGTTTTTGCAACTACGTCATTATCATACTTTTGATCATCATTGTGACGTGAACACCACTTCAACCACCATCACTATCACAATCATCATCATCATCATCATCATCTTTATCATTATCATTATCATTATCATCTTTATCAAAATCATCATCACCATCATCTTTATCATCATTATCATCATCATCTTTATCATCATCATCATCATCATCATCATCATCATCATCATCATCATCATCATCTTTACCATTATCAAATCATTATCATCATTTCTTTAATCTTCATTATCATAATCATCGTCGTTTTGAGCAACATTAACAATGTAACAATATTCCGCTTTAATTCATGTCAAACTACAAAATGTTTATTTTAAATATGATTTATGATTAAACATTATAGAAACTATAATAATTTCATTCTTCTTTCTGCAGGTTCGAGAACTGGTTGGACGATGTACGTGCCCGGTACAATTTCCTATCATCAAAGTTGGCGAGGGAAAATATAAAATAGGTGACAATCAGACCCTTGTTTTTGTTAGGGTAAGTTATTTAAATCAATATCATATTTAATGTAAGGTTATATACTATGAGAATAAATATCTTTTATAAAATGACATCAATATATGTGTAGGAATTTCCGTATTTAAAATGTTTGCAATGCTATTTGTTGGATGAATCTACAATATAATTGTATCAATGTAAAATTATGTCTGAAAACG